CCATTGACTTCCATATAGGGTAAGAAATACTATGGAAGTCAATGGGGACCATCAACTGACTGATTACCAGCATTCTTCAAAATATCTTCATTTATGTTCAACAGAAGAAAGAAACACACAGGTTTGGAAAAAGTGCAGGGTGAGTAAATGACAGAATTGTCCTTTTTGGGTGAACTATCCCTTTAAGAGGGAAGATTAAAGCCACAACAATAGTAAAATAAATAAATTAAATAAAAGCACACCAGAGGCTTTGTGTGGCACTGATCCTAAGAGAGGAACGTTGACGGTAGGGTCATCCATAATGTCTTGATCCAATGAACGCAGAGTCTGAAACTCATAAAAGTACTCTGCCTGAATATAAAAAAAAAAGATAAACAGAGGTTAACTTTGTTTTAAACTTCAAAGAAGTAGTGTAGATTTGCATAAAGAGGGGCGTTTGGAACAATAGCACAAAAAAGGTTGCATGTGGTTCATGACAGGAGCACATATACATCTCTAAAGAGTAAAAAGAGTGTTTCCGGGTATCCTTAAGTTTGCAAGGCAATCAATTTCCTCCGAAAGAAGCGCAACCTTTTGAGAATTACACACTTGTGATGGTGAGGCCAAACACACGCTACAAAAAAAAAACTGTCCCAAAAGGAGATGAAAGCGAGGGAGATGGTTCTTTTTTTTCCGGTCTCTAAATTTCGGAGTGTAAAAGCTGGGCAGCGTTTGATGAAGGCAAAAGTACACAAGCTGTGTGGAGAGCTTAGCTAATCCTACAGCTGAATGGTAATAACCAACACAGATAACTCTCGCCGCCAGCCTTTTATGCCGGAGACCTTTGTTCTAAAGCCTCAGCGGCCGTCTTTGAAGCTAACGGGCCAGGACAGAGTGGGCCCTTCTCTTTTTCCTCCGTATCCCTCCCATTGCTATTTTAATTTCTCCCTCTTGCTGCTCTTTCGTCAAGTCAACATGCCATTCACGGATTATGATCCCGGTGTGCAAAGATAGATCACTTATGAAAAGCGATTCCTGTACATTCCCCCCAAAAGTTGTGAATGAAGCTGTGGTGCATGTAAGAGAATCATGGATCTAGTTTCCGTTGGCAGTTTGATAAATCAATTTTTTTTTTTTTTAAATGGAAAATTGTATGGTTGCATATGAGTTATGTGAGTTTAAGGTTATTCATGATATTACAAAATATGTTAAAACTGATTTTTAAAAGTTGCAACGTAAATGTGATCGAGAATAGTTGAATTTGTGTGTTTTTTCTATTACCTTTCTCCTTGCATTTGTCACGTTTATTTGTTAGCTGGAGTTGGTTAAGCTGGAGTAAAGGTCTAAGACTCCTAAATAGATATTTTACCAAATTTTTTTGTTAAAAATTATGTAGGAAATTAATAGATTAATTTATGACAAGAGTGCACCTCAAAAATCTACATCATAACAGGAGTTCTGACCTTTGTCACAAAAAGTCTTCTTCGTTGCCTTTTTCTCTATCACACTTTAGAAATCATCAGAAATTATATATCAATTGAAAACTTAAAATCTCAAAATTCATCCTTTGAAAACCATTTTAAAATCAGACATTGCATTACCATGAAAATGGTACATCAAAATCATGTTACAAAATGTTTTCATTCATGAATTATAAAAATGTAAGTTTGGATCGTGCACTTTCACGTCTATTTTTAAAAATGTGAGTGACAGTTAAGGAGTTAAACTGCTTTGGAAAAAATATTTACTGTAAAAAGTGCCATAAATAAATCTGAATTGAATCAAAACATGATTTTGGCAGCTAGAAAAGTTGTCAAATAAATGTAAAATGACAAAATAAAAGCTTTTAAAACAATTATGTTAGCCTAATTATGTTTTTTTATTTGTATTTTGTTTGTATTATTATTATTAAGCTAGTTTTATTATTATGCCTTCTGATGCTTAAAACATGTTATATTAAAAATATGCATAGAAATATATTGCAGCCTTTACATTTTTAGAAGAGATCCTGAGAACCAAAATGTTTCCAAAGATTTCCTGAAAGATTTCCTTTCTGATTTTAGTAAGGTCATTTGTACTGAATACCAGATACTGGCTATTTGGGATCTTCTGTGAACATTTTTTTATTATGAAACATTGGGGAAAAGCTCTGTAGGGTAAATATGATTTGCCACTGTTTCTGCCAAAACCCTAACGAATTACAAAGAAGATCAACAAGCAATAACAACGCAACGCAAAGTGATTCCAAATGGAAGTTTGGTTGTTTCTCTCAGTGTACTGATGACGACCCAGATGTTTGGCACATGCATGAGGAGGCGCCCTCGCGCTTTGATCCGCGTGCAGCTTTACAACACCAGCATGCAAAATACCACAAGAATTGAAATGACATTTTTTCCTTTCAAATTAGGCCAATATACGACACAGATTCGGTTTACAATATTAAAGTGCAAAAATATTTTATTAATTACAAACTTTTTTTCAGTAAAAGTATAGCTACTTTAAAACACAATGAGCAATTCAATTGAGAATCAAAACTGCATGAGATTAGTTTTCAAATAAAATGTTTTGAAACAATTATTTATATAATATGTATTTAGATTTTTGTCTTCTCTGTGTACCCCTTCTGACGGGTTTTCCGCTCTTTTTCTTGATTGTCATTCATAGCGATGTATAATGTAGTTCATTTAATAATTTAAAAAATAAAAAAAAGTTTCTCGTTTCGTCCCTTTCAGGTTGGCCGTCTGGCCGCTTACTTCTACGTCACTTCCGCCGTGTCTCGCTGTATGCGTTTTTTCGTGCAAAGATGGCGTCTGCACAGTTAACGGATAAGGAGATTGTGTCTGAATTAAAACGGCTCGGCTACACTCCGGGCCCGGTGACTGAGAGCACGCGGCCCGTGTACTTGAAGAAACTGAAAAAGCTGTGGGAGGAGCAGCCACAGCCTCGAGAAAATGTATTTTAATGTTAAGTTAGGATCTTGTTTAAACGTTGTTTAGATCTTTTATATGTAAACAAGAAAATACTAAGAAATATGACACTAATTCATATAAGAAATATATATTATTAACAGCATATTTCACATTGTTTCATGTATTTCCGAATTGTAAAACAGCTTATTTACACAAACATGTTAATCATAAAAGTCAATAAACCTGAAAACTCCTAACCTAACTTCAATAATTCTGCTTATCAGGTAGCTAGAATAAGCTTGTTTTAAAGATGTTTAGATATTTTATTTGAATAGGACTGCATCAAGGAAATCAAATGTATAATGTGTCCCTGGTTAAGATCACGCCAGATGAAGAATATACTAAAGTTTTACAGTAGCCTACCTGATGAGTGGCTTGCCAGGTGAAGTTCACGTGGTGGATATTGACAGGTATTGCTGGCATTCGCTGCTGAGCTTTCCTGAAGTCGTGTGTGAATGGGGCCATTTTGCCCTCGGAGACTATTAAAATATCCTCTTCAAAACCTGTTGGATAAAACATTGAGCATTCACAAGCATCTCGTAGCTAGAAACCCCCTGTGCTAAAGTCATTATGCACTGGCTTGGTTCACACTTCATTAAAGCGCTAAACACTATTACCAATTAATATTCTTGCTTGATTGGCATCAATCCACATGTACATGCTTCCTTGCTCTTGGGCAGCTTCCATCAGACCCCCTAAAAGCAGAAGAAAGCACGTTTTAAGATACCGTTGAACAGCAGGCGTCCTGAAAGCCATCCCTTGGTTTATTTAAAGTGAATTGGCCGGCTTGCTGGCTCTCCCCTCTCGCTTCAATCCCGTGCACTAAATGTGTCTCGAGTGAGTCTTCAATTGACAGAATGATTCGCGCGGACTGTTCCGCGAGCTTCTTGTACGCAGCAGGAGCTGCATTTCAGATTTCACCACAAGGTGGCGTGGTTTAATACAAGGCGCCCCTGAGTCACAATTAAAATAGTCGATATGCATACAAGCTGATTGATGATTTGAAGTGTAACAGCGTGATAATGAAAGGTATTCTTCCATAATTAAAAAGGCTTCTCTTGGTTTAACCAAACTCAGCATGGATACTTTTCTCAACATCTTTATTTGTATTTTTATATTTCTACACTTGCTTCAATTTATGTCACCAGCACTGAAATTCCCTGTACGGCTGTACTTGTAGATTTTCATTCATATTGATTCATTTTCATTAATTTTATTCATATTAACCTAAATGCATGTTAACCAGGTGTCAGAATATCTAAAACTAATAAGCAACATTTGATTGACTTGATTTTCTTTACTGTTTATCAATCTACTTTCTGATTTTCATTTAAATTTGGGTTTCAATTATTCAAAACAACAACAAAAATAAATAATAATAATGTTTATTCAATAAATTGTTTTTATTATTATTATTATTATTATTATAGACTATTATTATTATTATTATTATTATTATTATTATATTACAAAACATAAAATGAATGAAGATGATGATGATGATGTTGATGATTATAAAAGTTATGTTCCAAATATCACATCGGAACTCCTTCATGAGTGGAAAAGTATGTTAGAAAAAAAATGGTTTCTATCCCAGCACATAATTTCTGAAATAAAGAGGTGTCTTATATTATTAGAAACCCCAGTTATTATTGACTGAAATGTGGCAGTCCTTTAAAGATCCAAAGGCAGTCTAAAAAAAATAGCAACGGCGGTAGCGGCGCTAGCAACAGCAACGCCGCGGCGCGTGCTCCGGGACTCAGCGCCAGGCCACCGGACGGTGACGTCACGCGTCTGAGTGCCAGCCGGAGCGAAAAGCGCAGACCCGGAAAGTTCGTGCTGGGCTTCAGCTCGGACGAGTCGGACGCGGAGGCACCGCAGAAGAAAGGAGGCCTGAATCACGGCGGCAGCAGGAGAGACCGAGGATCCGCGCTGCAGACACCCAACTTAAGGCCTGCGGGAACACCTGCCGCCTCCCTCGGCTTATCCGTGGACAGGAAAAGCATTTCTGCGTCTCCGTGGTGGGCAGACCGAGGCAAATCCAACGATTTAGAGGAAACGGAAAGAGACAGTCGGACTTTGAACGGGCATAAGGCGTTTTATGAGTCTAACAGTAGTAAGCTAGTCAGGGACTACTCTGATTCAGACGAGGAGGAGGAAGAGGAGGGTGAACGAGAGCGTCCCCGCGAACGCCGTCTGACTTCCAGACACCCCTCTTCCCCTTACCGGAGCGTCTGGAGCGCGGAGAAGACGGCGCGTGATTCTCCCGACTTCAGTCTAGATATGCTCGGGGAACGAGATGAGAAGAAACCGAGGGAGTTCAGCGGAAGCTACGTGAGCCGCAGCTACCAGAAACTCTCCGGGATTGACGGGGATGATAACAGCAGCGGCACCGTCGGCGGTGGTATCGCATCCGGTTCTTTTAATAAGAACCACATCGACAACGGAGACGGCGAGTCCCCCTGCAGCAGCAGCAGTAGTCGGTTCAGTATTGGGCTCAGACCGCGCTTTCCCTCCTACACAGCGACCTACCGAGCGAACCATTCGAACCACACCGGTTTCAACCACTCCTACAGCCATGCCTCAGCCCTCAAGCCCAAGCAGCACACCGCGGTCCCCGAGGACGAGCTCCTGCAGCAGTTTAAACGGGAGGTGTCCGCCACCGGCGGCTTCAGCGCTCACTACCTGTCCATGTTCCTCCTGACAGCCGCCTGCCTGTTCTTCGTCCTGCTGGGCCTCATGTACCTGCGGATGAGGGGCTCCAGCTCCTCCGAGCGGGATGCAGGCAGTAAGTATGAAGCGGTGGTATGTGTCTCAAAACCAAGTCAGATATATCCCTAGGCAAGATTTTGAGGTGGTTTACAAGCATTGCTATCAGAAAGTGCTGTTTTATTATTTAGTATGTATAATAGTACTGAATGTTGATAAGTACTACATTCATGCAGGATGATATTTACATGGTACCTCATCCAAAAAACATGGTATTACCATGGTAGTTGATTAAATACCATAGCAAATGAATGTATCATTACTTCCACCCAGTTTCCAAAAAGAATACCATGGAACGTACAAAAAAAGTATTACTGTGGTACATGTCCAAAAACAACCTCAAAAAAACATTTTAATACTATGAAACATTTACAAAAAGTGGCATTACCATGGTGCATTGATACTGAGGTGCTTTGATACATAGAATGATTGTCATGTAAATACTAGGGTATATTATTGTAGTAATGTAGTACAAAGTGTTTTGGACTATAATACCATCATTCTTTGAGATTATGATGATGTTAAGTGCTATTTATAGTGTTGCATTCCGTAAATGATTGTCTGTACACTGTGGTTTAGTATCTGGTATATATGGCAAATGTCAAATTAACTTGTATTGATTTACTAGGCAAAATCACAGAGTGTGTGTTTTAAAATATGACACATTTAATGCTTTAGAAAGTTCCTCGAAGTTTTTCTAATGGTTTCTGCAACTCCATGAGTCAAACGTGACTAATTCACACAGCACTTATCACCCCAGACTATTTGCACCTTCTTAGACAGGAAATGGTCTATCCCGCTTGTTCTTTATGGGACAGAGAGTGGTATTTGCATTAGAAATATGTGTGCTCCATGGTATGTCAAATGACTGTTCCAGCGCTGGTGGATTTCAGGTAGCTCATCGCACCTTCATCTTAAATGTTGCGACAATATGTCTATGACAGAAACTTTGTCAAATTACTCTCCAACATCTTAGTGCTTACCATATTTGTGTCTAAGGAGCCTTATCTTAAAGTTTTTTCTTACTGGAGGTGAGTTTGTGCTAAATTTTAATAAGAATAAATATGAATGCATATGAATTTATGTACTTTTCTTGATTGGCTAAATATTGCCTTTTTTGTAGACTAAAACTAGTCTGCAACCCATAATGTGCCTGATATTCCCTTCAGACTAGTTAAAATATCGATCTAAATGATTCATTGGTTAATTGAGAACTTAAATTCTTCTTTAAAAATAATTTCACAATTATGTTGAATAATTACAAGGATAATTTTATTTAATATTTATGTTGTAAGTTTTGTGCTTTAAATAATTATTCAAAATAAATTCAAATGGAATTATTTTAAATACTCAGGAATTATCAATGACTGGAAAAGTCATGGAAATTCACTCTTGAAAAGTGTGGGAACCCTCTGAGTGTCTGTTATTTGATAATCATGGTTAGTCTGGTAGTCCCCACATTTTGACATGTTGACATCCTTTATGGTCATAATGTGATAGCCAGCATTAATCTTTAGATGCATTTTCCCAGATGAGAGAAAGTCTGTTCTTGAATGTGCATGCTATGCCACTCAGTTTAAATAGCTTGAGTACCATCAGAGTAAAGTGCTCTGGAGGCAGAGACGGCTCTTGAGAGGAAGCCGACTGATGAATTACTATGTATATTTGTGGCATGGCCAGTCTCTCAGGGAGGGAGCTTTGACTGGAGAGCGTGCTGCAGACATCTAGGTCACAGACAAGCTAAAGCGGCCTAATTGTCTGTCTCTCAGGGGACTCTGGGAGCTTGTGGCCAGCTAGAGTGACTGACTTCTCTCTGGCCGTCTAAATGCCTAATTCTCACTTTGAGTGTGACATATACAGTATGTGTATCAGATTTCTACTTGCTCAGATTGTTGTTTGCAGCTTGTGATATAGGACGGTTATGTTGAACAACATACTATCCAACTAGTGCGAAACTAATAGCACCACTAGTATTGCTGCTGTGTGCACTACATAAGCACAGTATTAAAGTAGTCTGTGTGCATGAAATATGTCAGAACATTCAATACAATATCCCACAAAGCAGTGTGCTTGACTTGATCTTCCAGTTTGACGACTTAGTCATTTAAAACATCCTGAGTCCTGAATATTTGATCAGGCTGCAAAAAATGCCAAACGTTCACTTTTGTTTCTTAATTGTCAACTGGATGCTACTTGCAGAATGAACTGCAGTGTAACAAGGTAATGTGGCAACAATGTAGCATAAAGCTGTTTGAAATGTTTATCATTATGTAGTATGCTATTTTTTAAATAGTGTCCAATTCTGAACATAGTCAAAGTTTAGTTCTATGATGTGTCTAATAGTTTAGTAGGTTTTAAGAACTTATCAGAGAAGCAAGGGCTACTTCAAATTTTGTGCACTGTGTATTATAAAGAAGATAGTTTTGATAATATCGTTTATTTTATTGTTAGTTCTGCTGTTATAAAAAAAACGACCTTAGTTTGATTAGACGTCATGCGGGATAGATTTAAAGTCTTTACAATGGCATGCACTGTATAAAGGTCCTAGATCTCACAATTGCCAACTTTTAAAACTGTTTTATGGAGTTTTCTTTACTGAAATTTGTTTAGTAAAAGATGTTTTGTCAGCTGAACAATTGTGTTGTTAAACAACAGTATAGTCCGTTGAACTGTACATCTATTTCTCCCAGCCTTGTTTTCATTCCTGTCAAAAAATTTAATTTTTAATAAATAAAAAATGGCGCCACCCTGAATAAGGTCTGTAGGCCACTTTTTGCCATGTGTTTTTGTGGTTTTACCACAGTTAAGAAGGTTTAAGCCACTCACATCTATAGCTCAACCACAAAAACAGCAAAATGGGATCTTATCACCTGAAATCTAGGCCAGACTTGGTCTTGAAACTTAAAAGCAATTGTTTTTCCGGAGTATATGGCTTTTTCTCAGAGATTGATGTATTAAATGGCTTGCAACATCAGACGGCTCACGTCTGATAAGCCAGACCAATGTAGTCTATGATTGAGACACGCAGGGCAGTTGCTGTGCTTAATCTGGGCTCGGGCCAGAGCGAGGACAGAAGCACAATGTTCAGACAATGACTCAAGTGTGGGACGACGAGAGGCTCTCCCTTGTAGTCACCCTCAAGTGTGAGACGATGAGCAGCCCTCCTCCACGGCATAGTTGGGAAATACCATCCAGTCATGTATCATTATAATTTGTCTAGTGCTGAGTAATGCTGATTGTCAAATTACTTTTCTTTCTTTTTCAGTCGTACTTCACCCATTCGGACCAGAGTTTGATCTGCAGTATGTAAGTATCTGCTCACCTGTGTCCCATGTTTTAAACTTTTAGTCAAGCAAATTCCCTTTTCCACCAAAAAGGTATTTCTGGTTTTACCGTCCTTAAACATGCACTCACAACAATTACTTGCATTGATTTGAACAGGACGTCAAAGACCGAGACCTCATCCTTAACCTGCTCCTGTCTCTACATGAGCACCTGGCCAATGTCGCTGGTGAGCATTCAGATACAACTTAAATATATTTATACTTACTCATCTTAAATATATTTTGTTTTAATATATGCAGTATTAAATAGTGCAACCGTTTGATTGCCTTTCAGGAGAACATGATTGTGGAGACCTTAAAAATCCTTTAAACAGAAGTGTCTCTTTTAGTGACGCCTCTACGTACCTCAAGGTTTGTTTTATTTATTGAAGGGTTTGATCTCCATTTTCTGTTCAAGTCAAATTGCATTGTTTCTTTAATTGTATAATTTGGGAAATAGTGGCTCTACCAATATGAAACTGCACAACATAATAAAGCATCTTTCTCTTTCAAGCTCCAAAATGAAGCCTATGAAAACTTGATTGAAACGTCTTTAGAGTGGGTCATGAAAACCAAAGATGTTGTCGGTATAAGGTACCTGATGTCCATCCAAAGTATCTATCTATCTATCTATCTATCTATCTATCTATCTATCTATCTATCTATCCTATCACTCTTTGTGTGCCATTTTCCTGTGTTCATTGGGGGTGTGTTGGTTTCTTGGCAGGTTGATTGGTGCTGACCCTGCTCAACCCATAGAGGACATAATCTATCTATCTATCTATCTATCTATCTATCCTATCACTCTTTGTGTGCCATTTTCCTGTGTTCATTGGGGGTGTGTTGGTTTCTTGGCAGGTTGATTGGTGCTGACCCTGCTCAACCCATAGAGGACATATCGGAAATCTCACGACTGGAGTCCATCCACCCCCGCATGTCCTTCTTCTGTCGCCTCAGACGCGCCTTCTTCACTGTGATCCACAGAGTTCTCTTCGTCCTTGCAGGTTGGCTTCTACTCTCTGTAGAGGTTGGTGCTTTCTGCACGGGGAAGATCTTTTCACTAACCTTTCCTGCATTTCTCTGTAGGCATCGGTGTAGTTTTGGGTTTGGTGTATTACATGAAATACAGATGGCGCAAAGAAGAGGAGGAAACTAGACAGATGTATGACATGGTGGAGAGGATCATCGGTAAGGCTGTCTCATCGTTAGGCTATATTTTTAGCACAGTAATTACACAATGCAGGTGTAAAGCATCTTAATCACCTGTGCTTTGTGTTTTCACAGATGTAATGAGAAGCCACAATGAAGCCTGTCAGGAGAATAAGGACTTGCAGCGGTATTTGCCCATCCCTCACGTCCGTGACTCTCTTGTCCAGCCTCAAGACAGGTATTGCGTCTTTGCAGTGCAAATTTGGTTTGAGCTCGTTTTGCATTTTTGGATGAAATGCCCTCTTTTCCTGGTCCAGTGTATTCTGAAGAGTATGTGTATCGTGTCATTCTCTCAGAAAGAAGATGAAGAAGGTGTGGGACAGAGCCGTTGCATTCCTCTCAGCTAATGAGTCCCGCATCCGGACAGAAAAGCAGAGGATTGGAGGGGCAGACTTCATGGTGTGGCGGTGGCTTCAGCCCTCAGTGTCACCTGATAAGATGTCCAGCATGCCCTCCAAAGTGTGGCAAGGCCAAGGTAAGGTTTTCTTTGTGTGGAGTCAACCATCTGCATTTTAAGGTCAAACTCGTGCCTTTTTACTTTTTTGGATTAATACATGTGGGCAACTCCTTCTGATTGACTTGTTTGGAGGACTAACTTCCTGTTAATGCAAATCTTACTGATATTAAACATTCAACACGTTTATGCATAGTGTCCACATTCTTTTGGGCATATAGAGTATGTTCATGAACCTAAAGTGGCTTGTTTTGTTCTTCAGCATTTCCACTGGACCGAAGAAATTCGCCACCAAACAGCTTAACGCCGTGCTTGAAGATTCGCAACATGTTTGATCCTGTTATGTAAGTTTCTCAAGGACTTTTGCATGTGTCCTCACATTGAATTGGTTGTTGAAGTAAAATGTATTTACTTGCATAATTGTATGTAATTTTGCGTGATAGAGTGTTTTAGAGAAATGTATTTCCCTCTTGAACAGGGAAGTAGGGGAAAACTGGCACCTCGCCATTCAAGAAGCCATTTTGGAGAAGTGCAGTGATAACGATGGAATCGTTCACATAGCTGTTGACAAAAACTCAAGAGAGGTGAGGATCCTGTGTGATTCATTACAAAATATACAGCCTGGGTTTATAGGTTCTTGTCCAAAAGCTAAAGAGTTGCCTGCTGCCTTCAAAGGCTGCATCCCAGCCATCATGGACCCTCATAAGTGGCCAATTTGTAACACACTACAACAACATGCAACTACTCCTTACACCACACAAATTGACTTGACTCAGTTTATTCCAATGGAGTCATATTGTAAGAAGCATAAAATGCATAGAACAGTTAATTTTTAATGTTATTGTTTGCAAAACTATTCTTTATGCCATCTTGAATGGTTTTGATTGGTTCAAGTGGAGTTTCATGTTATCATGTTGCTAAGCTTACAGGTGCTACATATTGTAATAAGCATAAATGGGACATACAAATATTGGGTAAAATAAGCTATCTTTAAGTACTCTGAACATTATTTTTTACCATATTGGTTTGCTTTCAAGCTGATCGTATAAATTGATTTTACTCAATTGATTTGAATGGCATTTGATGTTAGCATGATGCTAAGCTAATGGGTACTAGATAATAATAATAGCAAAATGAAATAGGACAAACAAATAATAGGTAAAATATATGTTTTTTTATTACACAGAACTGTATTTCTTTGTACCTCATTCATTAATTTTTAGCCGTGCATTCTAGTATTGCCTTGTTCACAAAGGATATGATGTTGCCTTCAAATTTTTCTTTCTTTTGGAACAGTGTAATATTCCTAGAAGCATTTAATTAATGGGTTGATTTGCGGTATGATTTTGTTCTCATCTAGGGCTGCGTTTATGTGAAGTGCCTTTCAGCAGAGCATTCTGGGAAAGCCTTCAAAGCGCTTCATGGCTCCTGGTTTGATGGTAAACGAACGATGCATTTATTCTAGATTAATCAGAAGAACTACAATTTTCAAAATTTTCTTTAAACCTGTCCTGCCTTTTTTATAGGTAAGCTGGTGACGGTCAAGTATCTACGGCTGGATCGCTACCACCAGCGTTTCCCACAAGCCCTGGGCTGCAACACGCCCCTCAAGCCCTCCAGCTCCTGCATGAACAGCATGTCTCGCCTGAACCAGCGATCCAGCACATCCAGCTCACTGGGTTTCTCTTGAGGCACATGCTAACGGCCACCACCATCCTCTCTGCTCTCTCTTTCGCTATATACGAGGCTCCCTTTTCCTGCATCCTCTTCACCAGAGAGAACTGCTTTCAGGAGCTTTTACAGTTGGGCGACCTGGGACGCCCAATCAGTTTTGTCAGCCATATGCAAGCAATGGTGTTTAAACCTGTGAGCTGCTGTTTTTTTTTCTTTTTTCCTGTCCTTCGGTATCAAGGAAAGAAAGGCAGATGCACACACTTGCGTGAAACCAGTGGAGAGAGAGTTGCTCGGTCCGGTGAGAACTTTTAGGAGAGGTGGACGACGCAATCTCTGTCCTTCTCATATCTGGTGCAAGTGGACACAAATTTCTGTTTCTTATGTATTTGCTTTGTTTTTGATAAACCGTCTTTATGGATTCAATGACAAAAATGGCTTCCCCCCCTTACTGGTCACTTGGCAGATTTTAAATGCCACCCTGTGGCTGTTTTTAATCTGTCCCCGACCCTTCTAAATTTCCAAAGGAGATGTTTTTGATGGAAGTTGTTTTCTGACTTTCTTGTACACATTTGTGCTACGGTCGCAGCCTGATATGGTGATCTGATTCTAATTTGTATCGGGACACATTCATAAACAGAGCATGTCATGCTGCGGTCATGTCTATTTTGGATCACAGAAAGATTTATCAGCTTTTGTTTAGATGCAGTTCGGGTGGATATGAGGTAAATAAAATGTACTTGTTTATTACTCATGTTTATCTCCTTCCTTGATGAGATTCATTACATGATCTACATGAGCACATTTTATCTTCACTTTCCCATCTACATTTATATAAAACATTGGAAATGGCTTTTTAGATAAGGTTGATCTTTTAATTGTTGAAAATATTTCTAAGAAGAGTCAACGGTAGTTGCCCACTCCAGATATCTAGGTGAACAAGTTAGTGCAATTGAAAACAATGGTGTGGTCTTAAGACTTCAAGTATGTTTTTAGTCTTGGCGATTGATCAAGAGATATTTTTGAATCTGTTATGGAATATGTTTTTAAAATGTTTAATTTCTATGTTAGTAAACATAAATGGACAAGATTCATAAGATAAGTATTACAATTTTCATATGCAAAACTAGACATTTTAGTCCTATTTTGCAATTATTATTATACAATTATAACAATTATACAAGTAATCAGGGAAAACGGAAGCTATTCAAAATACACCCATTTTCAACTTTATATTCACTTTAAATAGTTAGATAATTTAATTAGCCTGCTTTATTATCAGTTTCTAACCAATCTAAAAGGATCCTAAAGTTAAAATAAAATAATAATAATAAATAGCACCACTAAAATAACCATAGCCTACTAATGTAGAGTTGGACATTTAAAGTATTGCTTAGCATTCAATGGTAAATTATAATATAAATTTATTTTGAATCCGCAATCGAAAGCAGTAGGATGTGATGATGGCATGCAAAGCAAAATCTAGTGAGGGTTGTTGCTTCGCGCTGAATAACTATGCGCGCAAATTACGCATTGCTTATATTTGGAGCTCGTCTGCCCAGCGAGAGGAATTTCCCAGAATGCACTTGTCATTACCTAAGAAGTACACAGTCGTGTCGCCGTTTGACAAATGCTCTGCTCTCACAGCGGCTCCCTTTCACTATATAGTCTGCTGTTCTACTCGGGTTTAACGCTATTTCTGCTGTCTGGTACGTGTAACTACTTATTATATGTTTATATTGTTTATTACGCACCTTTTAAGTGACTTTAATGTGGGCAACAGGGTCTCTGACTACGCGTTGAATGTGTAACACAACACCGTTATATTTTACTGTCAGTTTAAAATTGACGCAGTTGAAATGTATGACATATGTACGCGTTTGTTCCGTCTGTTTATGCGGTTTTATGCTTATATTTTAATGACAGAATATTACGTAAATAGCCACAGCGAATTTTCCTAGTCTTCTATATGAAGCATATCAGTCACACTTTATACTATGTATACACTATGTATCCTCCCACACGTGATGTCATAGCAGCGAGGTTTTATTACGTAACATTTTGTTTATGCAAACCACACCCTTACAAAAATGACTACTGTACACACCACAGTATTATCACGAGACTCCATACTTTCAAGTAGGCTATACCATGGTAATTCTTTGTAAGTGCAGACCATTCAAAGTCATTAATATTTGTCATGTCATGTTTATTTAATTGCCCTCTAAACTCCTGACACCTGTCTAATAAACACCTAAAAGCCTATCAGGATGTTCAGTCATCTGATGGACATTTCATGTAATAACATAGATGAATTTATGTAATCTTTGTGCTTGTGAGTCATGAAATTCTGGTGTAAATGTCCTATTCAGTATGTTAAATATCCTTCACTGTATCGGTAACAAAACAGCCTTACTACTTAAGGCAGTTTGGGTGTTGCCAAACAAAACACAGACAATTTGCCAAAGTTTCACATGCTTGAGATATTCATCCACTTCTGATGTTCTTTCATTTGCCAGCATTCACTTAATTGTTGTTCCCAATGGCCCTGCAACCATCAAAACCAGGCAATCATTTACACAGATCTGATCTGCTTTAAAACATTTCAGTTGTCATCTGTCGCTTTATGACCTTATGTAGTTATGACTGTCACTGTACCTCAAGTATCAAGCATGCTTTATTTATTAACTGCATTGATACTCAGAGCACTTGATATTTTTGGTGAGTAAATGCACTTATTTTGCCTGCTGTGGAGAACTTGTTCATTTTGTAGTTCAATAGAGAAGGGCAGTTTATTGATCGTGATAAGAAGCAGTTGTCAAAATGACATTTGTTTAACGAGCCTCTCTCATCAAGTTCCAGTTCGGCTTTACAGAAATTAAATAAATGAAGATTTGGCTTTCCTTGCATGTGATTCATCAGTGCAGCTAAACAGAGTAAAATAAATAAATTAATAAAATGCACATGCAGTAACATTGGAGGAAACCGGATCAAGTGTTCAAATCATTTAAAGAGAACTTTCTGGAATGCAAACGATGTAAACATCAAGCTGTAGACAAACACAGTCCTATGGTGTGATTCTGCAGAGCTGTAAGTGAGATATTTATAGTGATATTTATAGTATAAGTGATTGCTGGGTATTTTTAAAATGTGGCCTTGCTTGTGTCTGTATCTGTTCATGTGTTAAAACCTCTCGTGCCACACAGACCAGTCCTGGGTGAAGAGTATTTACTGTAATAATTCTGAATTTAGATGAAAAGCAATCATAGTTGCCTTATTAATTTTGGTCAGTGGTGTAATTTTTACAAAATTGTTGCATAATAATGTTATATATCATTATAAATGGAATATTGTAATATAAAATAGTTTTAATATATCAGAATGATTTCATATATTTTATATATTTTTTACATTTTTTAAATGTTTTTCTAAATAATTTTTTTTTCTTTATTTCATGAGGTTTGATATTTTACCTTGCACAATTCAGTTCATATATTCCAGATATGTTTAAGCGTCCAAATACTTTTTGAGGCCACTGTAGTTGAGCCTTTAGCCCCCCTAGTGGCTAATAGAATGAATTAAAATGATCAATTGTGATTGTTAATTTCTCAGTATTGACCTTTAACAGTGTTAAGCTTTAAATTTACAGCAGACCATGATAAAGAAGCTAATAACCTTCAGTGTGGGTTACATTACAAATGACTTGCATCCCCTGCTGCTCACCTCTCCTCCCATGCTGCTACCTGCTCTTGACACGTTTCATGGGCGTTGATGATATCTGTGTTCTTCAGGTCACTGGGCCTCTCCAGCTCTACCACAGTATCATATTTGCTACATTCTGCAGTGTTCTGGTCATCTCTGGCAGTTTGGCTCTCCTCATACAGACTGTCCTTACTGGATAGTTCTGTTAAAGCTGCTCTTCTGTTCCTCTGATTGTCAGGTGGCTCAGAAGACTGAGCCCAGGAACTGAACTCTGTGCCCAGAGTCAACATCCGCCATGTTCCAAGTGTGGCCAATCGGGCGGCTTTATTTTTGAAATAAGAGGAGAGATGATAAACAGACTGACTCAAAGAAATCACACACATTACAGGGAAATGAAAGAAGTGAGACAAATGCATGCTTGGTATAGGGCCAATTATAAAGGACTTCCTGTCATTTTTACGCTATATCAAGTAATAATTCTTACAAAATTAATATTTAAGGCCTACTGTATAAGTATTTTTGCATTATGACAGTTTTCATAATTACAATTAAACAATAAAAATAAAACTACTACAAAATAATTGCCCTACAATTCTTGTTACTAGTAAGCCAAAAAAACAAAAAAAAATCTTATTACAATAATGAAAATAAATAAATAAATACAAATTATATATTATATATTACTGTAGTTTGTACTTATATTAATTTAAATACAAATTTTATTGCATAACAGTAATTCTTTAGCAATAAAAAAGAAATTATTATTATTATTATTAATAACACTGAGAATAATTGGAATGAAAAAAGGTAATGATTAAAAAAACATATATATATATATATATAAATGTATAGAAAATTATGCCAAAATATCAAACCAAGTTTCAAGCAAAATGTCACACAAAATATTTTTTAAATGGTAAAAAATACTTGTTGAAATATATTGTTGAAGATTAAGACAAAATGTATTTAGACAATTTCTGGTCAAAAGTGGAATATGTTCATCGTTAATGTGATGAACTACAGCTGTGGTTACTCCGTGAATTGGAGGAGAACTGACTTCATACTAAAAAATTACCTGATTAAAAGTAAAAAACAAAAATTGGCTCAAAATGAGACATGAGCCAAGCTTGTCTGGTGGCAGATGCTACATATAATGCATATATATCCAAATATTTTTTCTCCACACTAAGAATAAGTGCTAAATGGAAAAATGTTTAAATCAAGCTCTTTCTGATGATAATTTGTCATTTGTACTCTTCTCCTGTCTCCTTGTTGCAGTAGATGAAAAGATCTTTCCCTTTTCCTCACACAACTGCGTGACCACTAGATGGACCTCATTCCTTATAAACCACAGCTTCACCCTCGTGCTCAGCAGCGCTCTGTGGCTTTGCCTGTTATTGATCCCATAGTTCAGCTGTAATTTCCCACAATCTTTGGCCTCTAACAGTTTTAAAGCTACCTTTTTCATAGGTCTTTATCTTTATAGTTTCAAGAAGGCTTGGAGAAGGTCTTAAAAACCTTCCAGCATTCTTCAGCGTGCGCTCGAGTTTGCCATAGGCCAGGATGGCTGCCCGTCTTCTCCGATCCATGGCCCCACGTGCATCCATAGCCCTGCTCCAATGCAGTCGTTCCCATAAGTCCGCAAGGCTGCTCCTAGCACTGATTTCACCCGCTACGCTAGGTACTGTAACCAATGTGGTTAGGATATATAATGTGCTATATTTAAATACTAGATTGTTGTGTTGTGCATTGGTTTGCAATTGTTTTTTGTAGTACAGCTGATATAAACAAAGTTGCTAATGTGTATAAGTATAAATTTAATTATAAGGTTAGTTTCCCTTTATGGCCCACAGACACACAACTGACGTGCTACAGCCATAGAAACCGCTGATAAGCTCGGTGTATGGCAGCTTTTTTTTTTTTATCTGTTTTCTATGCAAAATGCTTCTGCACTTTTTTCTGTCTTCTCAAGGCTCTGAATTCTAAAACTAGTAATCCAGCTCATTAAACTTGACATAAAATATATGTTGGTTCCACTAATGAAGTTCTCTGACCTTTTAATCACTTCTCAAAAATGTCAAATAATATTTTTTTCCCCATTAATCTCTCTTCACTGCTTAAAATGTATTTATGGAAGCCTGAAATGGAAAATAAAAAAGGTAACATTTTATCTCACAAGTTTGACTTTTTTTTCACAATTCTGAGTTTGTTTTACAATTAAGATTTTTTTTCATAATTCCAAGGGAAAGATTCAGAATTGTGAGATAAGAAGTCAGAATTATGAGATATAAACTGAGAATTGCATGATATTTTCTTAATTATGGCAAAACAAAATTTGAATTGCGAGATGTTAACTTGAAACTAATTAACTAATTCTGAGAAGAAAAGTCCAAATTGTGAGATAAACTTGCAACTGTGAGGGGGAAAAAAGTCCAAATTGTGAGATAAAAAGATTGTTACCTTTTTTTATCTTCTTTTTTTTAATCTCATGGCAAAAATGGGCTTTCATGTGTATTAGACTGTCAGCAATCAAAAACTAAAAATTGGCTGCTTTAAGGTTGTTGGCTAAACATTTTATTTTATTTATGAGCCCCTGTGAGGCATAATATTAAAAAGCCTTTATTAAAATGAAAACTCAATATGCCAAAGTTTTTTTAGTATTATACCTTGTGATGTACATTTAACTGTCATTTATGTAAGTAAACATGTCTTCAGGGTGCAAGGTCCTCATTTGAATTGTGGGTAATATGTTTTTACATATTTATCATTCCCGTTCACTTCTCTCTCTTTACACAGTGACGTTAATCAGTCTTTCCCTGCATGAGAAGTGTCAGCTGTCCCGTGATAGGCTGCTCTAAGTGTCCATCTCTGTGACTGACATCTGTGTTGACCTATGTTGTGTTTATTTTTTCTCCTTCCTCTCCCTCCTCGCCTATGTTTGTCTTTATTATTTTTTAGCCTGAGTGGTAGGAGGGTGTTTTAGCAGGCGGCTCCTGTCTCGCCGCTGTCTCTGTTCTCCCTGCAGCATCGGCCGCAGCCATGTCCGGGTTCAATCTACTGCATCTGGTCAGCCAAGGCCAACCTGTAAAACTCAAGGCCTGCGGGCTCCCCTCAGGTCATCTGGATGCTGTGTGTGTGTGTGCAGTGTGCTTTGCTTTCTCAATGCTTTCATATGTGTGTGCACACACGTGTGTGAGCGTTCGGCAAGGGGTGTGTGTGTTTGGTTGATGATAAGGTCACTTGTGGAGAAACCAACTTTTGGACAGTTAGCTCAACAGGTGAATAGATAAGACTTTTGGTAAGATTTTAGATCAATTTCTAAACAGTTGGCTGCCAGATATCAGGTTCCCCCTGATGCTTGCGTTGGTTTTTCTGCATTTGATGACCCCTTGCCCGGAAATGTCACCTTTTGCTTTGCTCTTTTTTTCCTCTGTTTAGCTCTTCAGTTGCTCATGGAATAACGCCTAACTCACTGTTTTACCTTCTTTTAAGCCTGCATGATCAGTCAAGCTTTAACATGATCTACTAATGATTGCATTTGTATTAGCATTTTCCATTTTAGGAATTTAGATGACACTCACATTTGATACAGGGTCTGTTCTGAGGGAAATTTTCAATCAGTTAGTTGTATCTAATTGCATTTTTGTAAAGTAATCATTGGTGCATGTTAAAACCTTTCATAGGTTTATTAAGACACATCAGTAGATTAATATCAATAACTGGGCGTTTCTGTGTCAAAATAATAAAACCCAACAGGATTTAGATTTCTTAAAGTAAATAATAGTGCTAGCAAAGTAAAAAAATGACTAATGTTCAAAATTTAGGCAAAGTGTGTGAATGAAATGCTGCTTTTACTGAATAATAATTAACACAGCTATATGACTGAATAGGCATGAGAAAGAACAGTTGCAATTCGGTATACAAATATGATGATATTATGATGACGTCATTACTGTTAGGTGAATTTTAAATGCTAAACATTCCATTAATGTCAAAAATCAATTCAAAATCATTTCAAAATGTCTTAATGTAGTGTATATGTATGTATGTATGTGTGTATATATATATATAT